AATTGCCCGTGGAGTGTGGTGTTCCGAGACACGGTGAACATTTGGGCTTGTAAAATTTGTTGTGTTTACTAGTACTCTGAGTAAACTGACCTTCACGGGAACGTTGTTGCTTTCTATTCCTAGATATGTTGTCGATATTGCGCTCGCTATTTCCTGTAACTTTTTCTTCGTGAATAACACTTTGTTGCTTTTTGATTTCCTCGCTTTGTCTTGCTTGAGACATAGCTTTCTGTAGAGTGAGATTTGGATCTAGTTGTAACTTCTCCGATAGTTTTTTGTTTTGCAGTCCAACTACGATTCGATCTCGTATCAATTGATCTTTCAGTACCCCAAATTCGCAGTACTTGGCGAGGCAATGTAGGGCGGTAATCAAGCTTTCCACTGGTTCGTTTTCGTCTTGAGTTCGAACATTAAATTTCGCTCTTTCGAAAATCACATTTCGTTCATTGATGAAGTGATTTTTTAACTTGTTTCGAACTGTTTCGTAGCTTTTGATCTCCTCGTCGCTCTGGCCAAACGATGTGATTATATCGTCTGCCTCATCGCCCATAGTACAGATAAGCGCATTGACTTGTTTCTCTTCGTCTTTTCTTTCTTATTGAGTTCTGTAGCAATTCTAAACCGCTCAAATCGGCGAATCCATCGGGTCCATTCTGAGGATTGAAAGCTAAACTTTGACGGCAGTGTTATTTGAAACTTCGCACAATATTTTCTTCGTCGCCGTTGCTTAATTCTGCCATATTTATAAATAGCTATTTTGTATAGATCCCACAGCTGCCACCATGTGCAATTATGTCTCGAACAATAATACCCTTTAATGTCAAACACTTATATACATCATGACGTCATTAGTTAATATTAGTAATAAGTAATATTAGTGAGTTACTATTTGTTATATCACACTACAAAGGTTAACAAGAATGATCAACCCTGGATGAACAGCAACCTAAAATGTTTGATAAAAAAGAGGCTGAAGGCTTTTACACAAAACAATAATACCTTGTATAAACAGCTACGGAATAAAGTTGTTATGTAGCTTTATTTTCTATTTACGCGAGGTAGGAGATCTTTACAAGGATCGACTAAAGTTCACTAATGTTCTCTTCTTTCTCCGTCCTTCTCTTCTCTTCTTCAAATATTCGTCGTTGCTGTCACTGTCTTTGGTATTGTAAGGTTGAGCTTCTCCAACGTTTAATATGCTTTTTACTCCGCTAGTCCACTGAATGTTCTGTTGCTGTGCGCCTCCTTTTATAATAAAATTTGAGGGGATCTTGAAGACGCCTGTGCAATGTTATGTGATTCACACAATCCAATCAGTGTTGTAGGTTGTATGTGTGGGTTGGCGTTAGAAGCTTGGTCCAGCTCTCATACTTTGTTTACTTAAGGCCGGTGACGCACTAGTCAAGTTGGTCTTTTACTTAATCGATCACTGTTAAAACTTGTTCACAACTTAAAATATTTATCATCAACTTAAAGTACAATTATCAACTTAGTACTCTGTGAACCGTATCTCAACTTATAACTATTTTACAAATAATTTCATCGAATTAAGCTTTTAGTGCCATAAGGCTTCAAGTGCTTAACCGAGCAAAATATAACAAAGAAATGATTGACACAAACTAGTTTCCGCCTAGAATTTATGTTCTTGAGTCGTGACACTTGTACTTTGTACGACTGTCACTACGACATACTATTGTTTCGGAGGAAATCCCATGGGCTGTCACTCATGACAGGAAAAGTAATTTTGTGATTCCGAAGGGTCATAATAATATTTACTTCACACTTCATCTTATGTGACATGTTCCCCAAGTAAGTTCCTCGTCGATATTGACCTTCTATTTCTTAACAATGCTAAATTACATTACACCGTTTATTACTCATAACGATAAAACGAGGTATCATTTGTGTGAGCCAGCGACCAAAAAAGCGTTAAAATATGAATGAGGGGGAATGGACAGCGAATTGCATTAAGCTCATATTCAATACCAAAATTTAAATATGTATAACCATTCATTATCATCTAAAGGCATTCAACGTCAAGAAATAAACGTACAATAGCATGAATAAGGCGGCCAATGAAATCTAGAGAATATACATCAAAGTCAAAAAAAAACGTACACAAATGCGGACAGCATATATAATATACATATAAGTATAGAATATATATCCTTAAAAAGTATTGCTTTCCAAAAAACGTCCACTATACTGTCAGTTTCATCCGCATAGAAATCCTCAAGGCGTCAACAAATAACAAATAAAAATTGTCTACCGCCTGAAGATTTCTGTGCAGATGAAACGAACTGAGTGGACGGTTATAAATAAGCAGTTCTTTTTTTCAAAAGTTTAGCCCGATAATGAAATTCACGTTTTACTTAATTCATATATTTCAACCCAAAACGAAGGTAAAAACAACCAAAAATTGTGATGACGAAGAAGACTGTGGTAGTGCAGTTGTTGATTTTGTTGAAGATGAAAACACCAGAAGGCCATTTCCTGTAAAAGACAAGGTATAATTATCAATCGTGCTAGGATTAGCAATAAAACTAGATGCATAGACATAGTACAGTACCTGCCCAGAAATAAGCTAGCTATAACACCGCAGTATAAAAAAATATATTTGAGATAATATTTTTTCTGTAATATTTAATATTTTCGTGCACAGTGTTAGAATTACGCGACAGTCATAGATCTTGCCAGAAAGAATGTAAGCTCATGGAGACGCCTTTCAGCACTTGGGACAAATCCTTACTCTTAAACTTGCAATATTACGCGTCTTTGTATACTTTAATTTCTTAGGATTCAGTAAAGGACACGTTTGCAGTTAGAGTCTTGCCGAACTCAGCCAATGCAGATAACCGCGAAACATTGTACGAAATCGTTTCCAAGTCAATGTCGAATGGGCATAAAGTAAGGTCCGCTCTCTCCATTTTCGCGTTTTTGGTTTTACTCGCACACAAAAACCTAAAACCTTCATAAGTTTTTGTGTAATTAATTTATAACAGAGAAAACACACCACAATATCAAAAGAATCCAACCCTATGCATTCATATTCACAACGTCGTACCCAGGGTCTTTTGTCTTCACGGGGCGGGGAACTACGTAACGAAGAATCCAACCCTATCCACCATCTATATTCAATCGTTTATTTATAAGTATTAAAGTAAATTATTTTAAACCTTAGGCGCTTATACGTACGAAAATGCGCACAGCATATATAATATACATAAATATAGAATTTATCCTTAAAAAGTATTGCTTTCCAAGAAACGTCCACTATACTGTCAGTTTCATCCGTATAGAAATCTTCCAGGCGTGGACAAATAACAAATAAAAATTGTCTACCGCCTGAAGATTTCTGTGCAGATGAAACGAACTGAGTGGACGGTTATAAATAGGCAGTTCTTTTTTTCAAAAGTTTAGCGATAATGAAATTCACGTTTTACTTAATTCATATATTTCAACCCAAAACGAAGGTAAAAACAACCAAAAATTGTGATGACGAAGAAGACTGTGGTAGTGCAGTTGTTGATTTTGTTGAAGATGAAAACACCAGAAGGCCATTTCCTGTAAAAGACAAGGTATATTTCATCAATCGCGCTAGGATTAGCAATAAAACAACATGCATAGACATAGTACAGAACCTGTCCAGAAATGAGCTAGCTATAACACGGCAGTATAAAAAAATAGATTTGAGATTATATTTTTTCTGTAATATTTAATATTTGCACAGTGTTAGAATTACGCGTCAGTTATGATCTTGCCAGAAAGAGTGTAAGCTCATGGACACGCCTTTCAGCACTTGGGACAAATCCTTACTCTTAAACTTGCAATATTACGCGTCTTTGTATACTTTAATTTCTTAGGATTCAGTCAAGGACACGTTTGCAGTTAGAATCTTGCCGAACTCAGCCAATGCAGATAACCGCGAAACATTGTACGAAATCGTTTCCAAGTCAATGTCGAATGGGCATAAAGTAAGGTCCGCTCTCTCCATTCCCGCGTTTTTGATTTTACTCGCACGCGAAAGCCTAAAACCTTCATAAGTTTTTGTGTAATTAATTTATAACAGAGAAAACACACCACAATATCAAAAGAATCCAACCCTATGCATTCATATTCACAACCTCGTACCCAGGGTCTTTTGTCTTCACGGGGCGGGGAACTACGTAACGAAGAATCCAACCCTATCCACCATCTATATTCAATCGTTTATTTATAAGTATTAAAGTAAATGATTTTAAACCTTAGGCGCTTATACGTACGAAAATGCGCACAGCATATATAATATACATAAATATAGAATTTTATCCTTAAAAAGTATTGCTTTCCAAGAAACGTCCACTATACTGTCAGTTTCATCCGTATAGAAATCTTCCAGGCGTGGACAAATAACAAATGAAAATTGTCTACCGCCTGAAGATTTCTGTGCAGATGAAACGAACTGAGTGGACGGTTAAAAATAGGCAGTTCTTTTTTTCAAAAGTTTAGCGATAATGAAATTCACGTTTTACTTAATTCATATATTTCAACCCAAAACGAAGGTAAAAACAACCAAAAATTGTGATGACGAAGAAGACTGTGGTAGTGCAGTTGTTGATTTTGTTGAAGATGAAAACACCAGAAGGCCATTTCCTGTAAAAGACAAGGTATATTTATCAATCGCACTAGGATTAGCAATAAAACAACATGCATAGACATAGTACAGTACCTGTCCAGAAATGAGCTAGCTATAACACCGCAGTATAAAAAAATTGATTTGAGATTATATTTTTTCTGTAATATTTAATATTTTCGTGCACAGTGTTAGAATTACGTGTCAGTTGTGGATCTTGCCAGAAAGAGTGTAATCTCATGGACACGCCTTTCAGCACTTGGGACAAATCCTTACTCTTAAACTTGCAATATTACGCGTCTTTGTATACTTTAATTTCTTAGGATTCAGTCAAGGACACGTTTGCAGTTAAAGTCTTGCCGAACTCAGCCAATGCAGATAACGCGAAACATTGTACGAAATCGTTTCCAAGTCAATGTCGAATGGGCATAAAGTAAGGTCCGCTCTCTCCATTCCCGCGTTTTCGATTTTACTCGCACGCGAAAGCCTAAAACCTTCATAAGTTTTTGTGTAATTAATTTATAACAGAGAAAACACACCACAATATCAAAAGAATCCAACCCTATGCATTCATATTCACAACCTCGTACCCAGGGTCTTTTGTCTTCACGGGGCGGGGAACTACGTAACGAAGAATCCAACCCTATCCACCATCTATATTCAATCGTTTATTTATAAGTATTAAAGTAAATTATTTTAATCCTTAGGCGCTTATACGTACGAAAATGCGCACAGCATATATAATATACATAAATATAGAATATATATCCTTAAAAAGTATTGCTTTCCAAGAAACGTCCAATATATTGTCAGTTTCATCTGTATAGAAATCTTCCAGGCGTGGACAAATAACAAATAAAAATTGTCTACCGCCTGAACATTTCTGTGCAGATGAAACGAACTGAGTGGACGGTTATAAATAGGCAGTTCTTTTTTTCAAACGTTTAGCAATAATGAAATTCACGTTTTACTTAATTCATATATTTCAACCCAAAACGAAGGTAAAAACAACCAAAAATTGTGATGACGAAGAAGACTGTGGTAGTGCAGTTGTTGATTTTGTTGAAGATGAAAACACCAGAAGGCCATTTCCTGTAAAAGACAAGGTATAATTATCAATCGTGCTAGGATTAGCAATAAAACAAGATGCATAGACATAGTACAGTACCTGTCCAGAAATGAGCTAGCTATAACACCGCAGTATAAAAAAAAGATATTGAGATAATATTTTTTCTGTAATATTTAATATTTTCGCGCATAGTGTTAGAATTACGCGTCAGTTATAGATCTTGCCAGAAAGAATGTAAGCTCATGGACACGCCTTTCAGCACTTGAGACAAATCCCTACTCTTAAACTTGGAATATTACGCGTCTTTGTATACTTTAATTTCTTAGGATTCAGTCAAGGACACGTTTGCAGTTAGAGTCTTGCCGAACTCAGCCAATGCAGATAACCGCGAAACATTGTACGAAATCGTTTCCAAGTCAATGTCGAATGGGCATAAAGTAAGGTCCGCTCTCTCCATTTTCGCGTTTTTGGTTTTACTCGCACACAAAAACCTAAAACCTTCATAAGTTTTTGTGTAATTAATTTATAACAGAGAAAACACACCACAATATCAAAAGAATCAAACCCTATACATTCATATTCACAACCTCGTACCCAGGGTCTTTTGTCTTCACGGGGCGGGAAACTGCGTAACGAAGAATCCAACCCTATCCACCATCTATATTCAATCGTTTATTTATAATTATTAAAGTTAATGATTTTAAACCTTAGGCGCTTATACGTACGAAAATGCGCGCAGCATATATAATATACATAAATATAGAATATATATCCTTAAAAAGTATTGCTTTCCAAGAAACGTCCAATATATTGTCAGTTTCATCTGTATAGAAATCTTCCAGGCGTGGACAAATAACAAATAAAAATTGTCTACCGCCTGAACATTTCTGTGCAGATGAAACGAACTGAGTGGACGGTTATAAATAAGCAGTTCTTTTTTTCAAAAGTTTAGCAATAATGAAATTCACGTTTTACTTAATTCATATATTTCAACCTAAAACAAAGGTAAAAACAACCAAAAATTGTGATGACGAAGAAGACTGTGGTAGTGCAGTTATTGATTTTGTTGAAGATGAAAACACCAGAAGGCCATTTCCTGTAAAAGACAAGGTATAATTATCAATCGCGCTAGTATGGAATGCCGAAGTGGACAAAAGTCCCTGAGAACTTTTTTATAGACGCGAGAATTTTTTTATAGACGCGAGAATTTTTTTATAGACGCGAGAATTTTTTTATAGACGCGAGAATTTTTTTATAGACGCGAGAATTTTTTTATAGATGCGAGAATTTTTTTATAGATGCGAGAATTACTTTGTAAATGCGAGAATTCTTCTACAGAAGCGAGAATGCTTTTATTTATTTATAGTTGCGAGAATTATTTTGTAGAAACGAGACTTTTTAGACGCAAAATATTTTTATATTAGGGCAAGAATTTTTTATTATACATTTTATACTGACTGCCAGTTCTACTTATACTTATGGCGGGAAATAATGTGCAGTTGTCACTTGTCACTCATGGCAGTTATACGGTTATACACAACACAAAATGGCGGCTAGAAATTCAGTTTCAGCAACAAGACCCGCACGGGCCGCAAATGAGATTTTAACGCAAATATTAAGTCATGTTGGGGAATTATCTGATGCTTTAAGTCCTTCTGCCAGTATCGGATCGGCAAGCCAAGGTACCAGCACTCGAAACACAGGCAATACTATAAACCAAACAGTGGAGGAAGAGGTCAGGAAAGTGTTTGGACGATCTGAACGACCATCCAACACGCTAAATACAGCTGAAGGTATTCAAATCCAAACGCATAGATCAGGAAATAACTTGACAAACGCAGTAAATCATCGGTATAATGCTAGACGATATTTTAGTGGTCACCAACGCTCCGCAATGACATCCAATAACAGCAAACGCAAGAAGAAAAATGTGCATGGTGGTCCCTTCACACGTGACATAATATTGCTCACTGGCCCCGAAGACAAGGATGTTCCTAGGCAAAGTAACAAGGTTTTCCTGCAAGAGAATGGGCATATACTTAATGCATTCAACTTTATGAGAGAATGGAGCCATATTGATGTGGAAATAGCGATCCGCAATACATTTGAAGGAAAAATTCCTGAGAATGTTGATATTGAGATCCTTCAGTCAGTCCACACATCGTTACATACACCATCATTGCCTCCAGGTCAATGTTTGACTGGTTTGGTTATGAGCAAAGTGTTTGCCAACAATAAACCAGTTTACATCAGACCATCAAAGAAAATCCTCTTCCAGCCTGATGAAATTGAACGAAAGAGACAAAAACATGAATTACCTTCTGATATATTTGATGATAATTCTGATGACAATACCTTGGCAAACTCACATATAGATATCATCAACTCTACGAAATCTGTTGACATGCCAATTGGTAAGATAGCTTTGCAGTCTGCTTCAATTAAGTATTTAATAGATTTTTAGTGCACTTGTTGGGTGACTTACCAGCTGATTTTAATTTCCATGCATATAATTTTCTAGGTGGGGTGATTGAAAATCCAGAAGAGCATCCAGCATTATATAATGCTGAATATGTACCAGATGAGGTGGCTAATGAAGTTGCTATCCGTGCAGAAGCTGCAATTACAAATGTTGAAGTTGCAGAAGTGGCAGAATGTACTATTACAAATACTGTTCAACAAGGTAGCTTGCATTTTTAACAATCAAGTTCATTATTTATTTGGTATTAGCATGCCATTTCTCTACATTTTCAATCAATCCATCCTTATTTCCAAATTCCAACATGAAAATCATATTGTATATATATAATATATATATATATATATATATATATATATATATATAATATATATATATTATATATATATATATATATATATATATGTATATATATATAATTATTTCATATGTATATTTTACAAATTAGACATTTTTCTATAAGCATATGTAATAAACAATCCGTCAGTAATTAAATCTATAACTATTAAATCTATAACTATAAGTATTAAATCTATAATAATGTTTTTTATAAGAAATGATTTTAAAAAGACACTTGATATAAGCAGAATGGTAATTAAGCACATGCTTGTAAACTTTAAAAGAGCACTGAGTCAGGTTTTATTATGCAGAGTCTTCTCATTAAATTTATTATTGTAGGTCACAATTACTTCCTGTTATTATTGTCAATATCAAATTACCTTTTCACCTGTAGTACCCACTCAACTGTCGTACACAATCAGAAATTGGGGGTGTTAGCCTGTAAATATTAAACAGTAAACACATTCTTCATTATCCTATATAAACTCATCTGTGACAAAGCATTGAGAATTTTATTTAACCTGTTCATACTATTAGATGCTTTTGAAAAGAAATGGAAGTGTAATTTGCAAGTTGACAACAAACATAGTCCTGATTTAGGAACGATGCTTTGAAAAGTTATCTTAACTTGATAGTAAATAGTTATGTATTTATTTCATATGTATATAGTTATGTATTTATTTTAAAGGTATATATACACTTCCTTTACTTTTGTATGGAGCACATAATTCTATACTCAAAATATTAATTGGCATTATATTTGTATAATTAAGATCCTGTAGATTGGGCATGTGATGAGATTCCCACCGGCACTGATGATCATCTCTTGGAAGATGCGCCTGCACTTGTTAAAGAGATTGCCATTCATCGTAGCAATGTGTTGAAAGACATGATTGCAGCCTTTAAAGAGGAGGAAGTTCTTAATTGTGCTCTTGAAATAGTTTTTATTGATAACCAAGGAAAGATTGAAGAGGGGAGAGGCTCTGGAGTGAAAAGAGAAGCATTCAGTTTATTTTGGAGCGAGTTCTACGACTCTTTGACGCTCGGCGCTTCTGAAAAAGTTCCAGCCATTCGGCACGATTATCAAATGACCGAATGGCAAAGTGTCGGGCGTATCCTTTTTGTCGGCTATTCCAAGTTTAGTTATTTTCCTATCGGATTGTCAAAAGCATTTATAGCTTCGTGCTTTTTCACAGAAGAATTACTCCCGAATGAATGGCTATTGGATTCTTTTCACCGATACATAGCTGCAGACGAGAGTGAAACTCTCAAGAAGTGTTTGACTCCGGAATGCGGGGACCTTGGAAAAAACGAAGATCTTCTTGATTTCTTAAGTGCCTACAAGTGTTATCGGGTCGTTAGCAAGGAGAACATGCCAACAATTATCGACGAGCTTGCTCATCAAGAATTGATTCAACGTCCGAAATACATAGCAAATGCATGGATTCCTATCGTTAACAAGCTTAAACAACACCCAGAATTTACTAGCATAGAAAGCTTGCATGCTCTTTATGAGGCAAAAAAGCCATCTAATAAAAAAGTTTGTAATCTTTTAAGAGCTAATCCCAGCACTGACGCCGAAAGAGAGTGTCTGTCTCATTTGAAGAGGTTCATTAAATCTCTCGACCACGCTATGCTTCGCCTATTTCTGCAGTTCATAACCGGTAGTGATACCCTTGCTGTGGAAAAGGTTGATGTTGGATTTAATGAAGAAATTGGTTTTAGTCGTCGTCCAACAGCCCACACGTGTGGTCCTCTTCTGGTCATTCCGGCTAGTTACCAGTCATACAATGAACTGTCTGAAGAATTTAGTAGTATTCTTCGTCGTCATGGAGAATGGTCATTTCATATCGTATGATTTCCAAAGAGTTAAAGACTAAAAGACTAAAAACTGCCAAAACATAGCTTTTGATTATATTGTTACGGTTACGTTGTATGTTTTATTAACATGGATTAATTATAATTCACATTTTTTACATAAGAAAAGTTTGATGTCAAACATAACATATTCAAATTTGGTTCCCTTATCGTTTGCTGCCGTGTTCACGCTTTGAAACGATTTGTATACATAAAGTAGCGATTTGTAAGAAACGATTTGTATAAATAATGATACCGTTTGTAAAAGTGTTAAAACTAGGCTTTGAACAAGGTATTACACCATATATTTTATGTACACATTAGTATATTTTATATTATATACATTTTTGTTCATGAAAAGTGCCCCCTCAAACAATCGCGAACTGTTTGGTAATGATTTAAACCATGGTTACCATCATCGTCTTGGGGAGTTGGAACTAGTTCTTTTATTTCCATTATCTGCTCGTTGTTTAAGTGAATGGTGCTTTCTGGAACAATTACCATATTGTCCGTTTCAATGTCAACGACGGGCCCATCAGGATCAATGCCATAAAGCCCTATATCGCCATCTATATTAACTTCATCGCATTCACTTATCTCTGAATACCATAGTGCTAGGGGGGATTGATGGCGCATTGTACGGAGACCGTGACAGTTCCACTGGTTCACAAACTCTTCTACCGAAGCTTGTACTGCAGGTAAATATACGTAATGCAACGCAAACAAATCCACTTCGTCATGAACATTAAGAAGGTCATTCTCTTCCATGAATTTGAAAAGATCTTTATAATACGCGGATACGACCCTGTTTAATTCCGCCCACAGGCGCTCGATCCTTTGGTTGTGCACACTACGGCCACAAATGAAACTTCCACGATTTAATCCCCGGTTTCTGATCATAAAACGAGCAACATCAACGTTTTCAACGCCCTTGTCGCCTCTTACTCTTAAAGGCAGTCCATATTCTTGCGTACCTTGTATAAAATATTCTAATGCTGTACGTGCTAGATTGTTGGTACAGCATTTTAGGTATATAATAGTCCTGCTATATCCATCGATACATCCATGGAACACAAACCTCCAACTGATTAGTTTGTGATTAGAATCAATGTGCCATAGATTATTTGGCTTTCTTACGTTATATGCTCGTCGTTGAATAGCGCACCTTCGCCGAATTGCACGTTTATTGGCATCAATTGTGTGCATACATCTCGGATCTTCCATCTCTGGACATTGATACCTCTTGCACGCAATGCCCCTCGTACATAGGTTTCCCCTGAGTAAGGTGTCAATCTTAAAATGTCTCTAACGCAGGTTTCTAGCTCTTCATTGGAAATATCATCGTATGAATCATTCATGCCGCATTCTTTTCTTCTTCGGTAGATCGTCTTAACACTAACGCCCAAACAGCTAGCTATTGCAGTCCAATGCATGCCAGTACTACGGAGAATTTCAATTTGCTCTTGAGCAATGGAGTACCGTCGCCTACCGCCGGAGCTCCCTTCGTGATGAAGCTCTCTTTGTACTCTGCCAACTCTGGCAGCTTCTTCGTTGGATGCACTTAGTTCAGTTCTAAGATAATCGATTCTTGTCATCAAAATATCGAGTAAGCTTGCAACTAACTGTCCAACTATAAGTGTTTCATCATTGCCAATAGCTAAAGACATAGCAGTTAGAATTTGAATGAAGTCTTCCAAACGGTCTGTAAAATGCGAAGCAAATAAAATTATGGACAACTCGCTCGTATCAATCCTGTCTAACAGTCTTGTAACGACAGAAAAAATTCTGCAATTCTTCATCTTCACCGAAGCCAAATTAAGCGCGTTAAAAACGAGAGCACATATAAAAACGAAGTAAACCATGTTGAACGCAATTTGAAATAACAGTAATAGCGTCTATATAAAAATTTTCATTTGTATAAAAAATGTTTGCATTTATAAAAAAAATTCGCATTTATAGAAGCATTACCGCATCTAAAAAACTATTCTTGCATCTATAAAAAAATTCTCGCAACTATAAAAAAATTCTCGCATCTAAAAAAATTCTCGCGTCTATAAAAAAATTCTCGCGTCTATAAAAAAATTCTCGCAACTATAAAAAAATTCTCGCATCTATAAAAAAATTCTCGCATCTATAAAAAAATTTTCGCATCTATAAAAAAATTCTCGCAACTATAAAAAAATTCTCCCGTCTATAAAAAAACTCTCGCGTCTATAAAAACATTCTCGCGTCTATAAAAACATTCTCAGGGACTTTTGTCCACTTTGGCATTCCATACGCTAGGATTAGCAATAAAACAATATGCATGCAAAGACATAGTACAGTACCTGTCCAGAAATGAGCTAGCATAACACCGCAGTATAAAAAAATAGATTTGAGATTATATTTTTTCTGTAATATTTAATATTTTCGAGCACAGTGTTAGAATTACGCGTCAGTTATAAATCTTGCGAGAAAGAATGTAAGCTCACGGAGACGCCTTTCGGCACTTGGGACAAATCCCTCCTCTTAAATTTGCAACATTACGCGTCTTTGTTTACTTTAATTCCTTAGGATTCAGTCAAGGACACGTTTGCAGTTAGAGTCTTGCCGATTTCAGCCAATGCAGATAACCAAGAAACATTGTACGAAATCGTTTCCAAGTCAATGTCGAATGGGCATAAAGTAAGGTCCGCTCTCTCCATTTTCGCGTTTTTGGTTTTACTCGCACACAAAAACCTAAAACCTTCATAAGTTTTTGTGTAATTAATTTATAACAGAGAAAACACACCACAATATCAAAAGAATCCAACCCTATGCATTCATATTCACAACGTCGTACCCAGGGTCTTTTGTCTTCACGGGGCGAGGAACTACGTAACGAAGAATCCAACCCTATCCACCATCTATATTCAATCGTTTATTTATAAGTATTAAATGAAATTATTTTAAACCTTAGGCGCTTATACGTACGAAAATGCGCACAGCATATATAATATACATAAATATAGAATTTTATCCTTAAAAAGTATTGCTTTCCAAGAAACGTCACTATACTGTCAGTTTCATCCGTATAGAAATCTTCCAGGCGTGGACAAATAACAAATAAAAATTGTCTACCGCCTGAAGATTTCTGTGCAGATGAAACGAACTGAATGGACGGTTATAAATAGGCAGTTCTTTTTTTCAAAAGTTTAGCGATAATGAAATTCACGTTTTACTTAATTCATATATTTCAACCCAAAACGAAGGTAAAAACAACCAAAAATTGTGATGACGAAGAAGACTGTGGTAGTGCAGTTGTTGATTTTGTTGAAGATGAAAACACCAGAAGGCCATTTCCTGTAAAAGACAAGGTATATTTACCAATCGCGCTAGGATTAGCAATAAAACAATATGCATGCAAAGACATAGTACAGTACCTGTCCAGAAATGAGCTAGAATAACACCGCAGTATAAAAAAATAGATTTGAGATTATATTTTTTCTGTAATATTTAATATTTTCGAGCGCAGTGTTAGAATTACGCGTCAGTTATAGATCTTGCGAGAAAGAATGTAAGCTCATGGAGACGCCTTTCGGCACTTGGGACAAATCCCTCCTCTTAAACTTGCAACATTACGCGTCTTTGTATACTTTAATTTCTTAGGATTCAGTCAAGGACACGTTTGCAGTTAGAGTCTTGCCGAACTCAGCCAATGCAGATAACCGCGAAACATTGTACGAAATCGTTTCCAAGTCAATGTCGAATGGGCATAAAGTAAGGTCCGCTCTCTCCATTTTCGCGTTTTTGGTTTTACTCGCACACAAAAACCTAAAACCTTCATAAGTTTTTGTGTAATTAATTTATAACAGAGAAAACACACCACAATATCAAAAGAATCAAACCCTATACATTCATATTCACAACCTCGTACCCAGGTTTTTAGTCTTCACGGGGCGGGGAACTACGTAACGAAGAATCCAACCCTATCCACCATCTATATTCAATCGTTTATTTATAAGTATTAAAGTAAATGATTTTAAACCTTAGGCGCTTATACGTACGAAAATGCGCACAGCATATATAATATACATAAATATAGAATATATTCCTTAAAAAGTATTGCTTTCCAAGAAACGTCCAATATACTGTCAGTTTCATCTGTATAGAAATCTTCCAGGCGTGGACAAATAACAAATAAAAATTGTCTACCGCCGGAACATTTCTGTGCAGATGAAACGAACTGAGTGGACGGTTATAAATAAGCAGTTCTTTTTTTCAAAAGTTTAGCAATAATGAAATTCACGTTTTACTTAATTCATATATTTCAACCCAAAACGAAGGTAAAAACAACCAAAAATTGTGATGACGAAGAAGACTGTGGTAGTGCAGTTATTGATTTTGTTGAAGATGAAAACACCAGAAGGCCATTTCCTGTAAAAGACAAGGTATAATTATCAATCGCGCTAGGATTAGCAATAAAACAATATGCATGCAAAGACATAGTACAGTACCTGTCCAGAAATGAGCTAGCATAACACCGCAGTATAAAAAAATAGATTTGAGATTATATTTTTTCTGTAATATTTAATATTTTCGAGCACAGTGTTAGAATTACGCGTCAGTTATAGATCTTGCGAGAAAGAATGTAAGCTCATGGAGACGCCTTTCGGCACTTGGGACAAATCCCTCCTCTTAAACTTGCAACATTACGCGTCTTTGTATACTTTAATTTCTTAGGATTCAGTCAAGGACACGTTTGCAGTTAGAGTCTTGCCGAACTCAGCCAATGCAGATAACCGCGAAACATTGTACGAAATCGTTTCCAAGTCAATGTCGAATGGGCATAAAGTAAGGTCCGCTCTCTCCATTTTCGCGTTTTTGGTTTTACTCGCACACAAAAACCTAAAACCTTCATAAGTTTTGTGTAATTAATTTATAACAGAGAAAACACACCACAATATCAAAAAATCAAACCCTATGCATTCATATTCACAACCTCGTACCCAGGGTCTTTTGTCTTCACGGGGCGGGGAACTACGTAACGAAGAATCCAACCCTATCCACCATCTATATTCAATCGTTTATTTATAAGTATTAAAGTAAATATTTTAAACCTTAGGCGCTTATACGTACGAAAATGCGCACAGCATATATATATACATTATAGAATTTTATCCTTAAAAAGTATTGCTTTCCAAGAAACGTCACTATACTGTCAGTTTCATCCGTATAGAAATCTTCCAGGCGTGGACAAATAACAAAAATTGTCTACCGCCTGAAGATTTCTGTGCAGATGAAACGAACTGAGTGGACGGTTAAATAGCAGTTCTTTTTTTCAAAAGTTTAGCGATAATGAAATTCACGTTTTACTTAATTCATATATTTCAACCCAAAACGAAGGTAAAAACAACCAAAAATTGTGATGACGAAGAAGACTGTGGTAGTGCAGTGTTGATTTTGTTGAAGATGAAAACACCAGAAGGCCATTTCCTGTAAAAGACAAGGTATTTATCAATCGCACTAGGATTAGCAATAAAACAACATGCATGACATAGTACAGTACCTGTCCAGAAATGAGCTAGCTATAACACCGCAGTATAAAAAAATTGATTTGAGATTATATTTTTTCTGTAATATTTAATATTTTCGTGCACAGTGTTAGAATTACGTGTCAGTTGTGGATCTTGCCAGAAAGAGTGTAATCTCATGGACACGCCTTTCAGCACTTGGGACAAATCCTTACTCTTAAACTTGCAATATTACGCGTCTTTGTATACTTTAATTTCTTAGGATTCAGTCAAGGACACGTTTGCAGTTAAAGTCTTGCCGAACTCAGCCAATGCAGATAACCGCGAAACATTGTACGAAATCGTTTCCAAGTCAATGTCGAATGGGCATAAAGTAAGGTCCGCTCTCTCCATTCCCGCGTTTTCGATTTTACTCGCACGCGAAAGCCTAAAACCTTCATAAGTTTTTGTGTAATTAATTTATAACAGAGAAAACACACCACAATATCAAAAGAATCCAACCCTATGCATTCATATTCACAACCTCGTACCCAGGGTCTTTTGTCTTCACGGGGCGGGGAACTACGTAACGAAGAATCCAACCCTATCCACCATCGATATTCAATCGTTTATTTATAAGTATTAAAGTAAATTATTTTAAACCTTAGGCGCTTATACGTACGAAAATGCGCACAGCATATATAATATACATAAATATAGAATTTTATCCTTAAAAAGTATTGCTTTCCAAGAAACGTCCACTATACTGTCAGTTTCATCCGTATAGAAATCTTCCAGGCGTGGACAAATAACAAAAATTGTCTACCGCCTGAAGATTTCTGTGCAGATGAAACGAACTGAGTGGACGGTTAAAATAGCAGTTCTTTTTTTCAAAAGTTTAGCGATAATGAAATTCACGTTTTACTTAATTCATATATTTCAACCCAAAACGAAGGTAAAAACAACCAAAAATTGTGATGAAGAAGACTGTGGTAGTGCAGTTGTTGATTTTGTTGAAGATGAAAACACCAGAAGGCCATTTCCTGTAAAAGACAAGGTATATTATCAATCGCCTAGGATTAGCAATAAAACAACATGCATAGACATAGTACAGTACCTGTCCAGAAATGAGCTAGCTATAACACCGCAGTATAAAAAATGATTTGAGATTATATTTTTTCTGTAATATTTAATATTTTCGTGCACAGTGTTAGAATTACGCGTCATTATGATCTTGCCAGAAAGTGTAAGCTCATGGACACGCCTTTCAGCACTTGGGACAAATCCTACTCTTAAACTTGCAATATTACGCGTCTTTGTATACTTTAATTTCTTAGGATTCAGTCAAGGACACGTTTGCAGTTAAGTCTTGCCGAACTCAGCCAATGCAGATAACCGCGAAACATTGTACGAAATCGTTTCCAAGTCAATGTCGAATGGGCATAAAGTAAGGTCCGCTCTCTCCATTCGCGTTTTGATTTTACTCGCACGCGAAAGCCTAAAACCTTCATAAGTTTTTGTGTAATTAATTTATAACAGAGAAACACACCACAATATCAAAAGAATCCAACCCTATGCATTCATATTCACAACCTCGTACCCAGGGTCTTTTGTCTTCACGGGGCGGGGAACTACGTAACGAAGAATCCAACCCTATCCACCATCGATATTCAATCGTTTATTTATAAGTATTAAAGTAAATTATTTTAAACCTTAGGCGCTTATACGTACGAAAATGCGCACAGCATATATAATATACATAAATATAGAATTTTATCCTTAAAAAGTATTGCTTTCCAAGAAACGTCCACTATACTGTCAGTTTCATCCGTATAGAAATCTTCCAGGCGTGGACAAATAACAAATAAAAATTGTCTACCGCCTGAAGATTTCTGTGCAGATGAAACGAACTGAATGGACGGTTATAAATAGGCAGTTCTTTTTTTCAAAAGTTTAGCGATAATGAAATTCACGTTTTTTAATTCATATATTTCAACCCAAAACGAAGGTAAAAACAACCAAAAATTGTGATGACGAAGAAGACTGTGGTAGTGCAGTTGTTGATTTTGTTGAAGATGAAAACACCAGAAGGCCATTTCCTGTAAAAGACAAGGTATATTTATCAATCGCGCTAGGATTAGCAATAAAACAACATGCATAGACATAGTACAGAACCTGTCCAGAAATGAGCTAGCTATAACACGGCAGTATAAAAAAATGATTTGAGATTATATTTTTTCTGTAATATTTAATATTTTCGTGCACAGTGTTAGAATTACGTGTCAGTTATGATCTTGCCAGAAAGAGTGTAAGCTCATGGACACGCCTTTCAGCACTTGGGACAAATCCTTACTCTTAAACTTGCAATATTACGCGTCTTTGTATACTTTAATTTCTTAGGATTCAGTCAAGGACACGTTTGCAGTTAGAATCTTGCCGAACTCAGCCAATGCAGATAACCGCGAAACATTGTACGAAATCGTTTCCAAGTCAATGTCGAATGGGCATAAAGTAAGGTCCGCTCTCTCCATTTCCCGCGTTTTGATTTTACTCGCACGCGAAAGCCTAAAACCTTCATAAGTTTTGTGTAATTAATTTATAACAGAGAAAACACACCACAATATCAAAAGAATCCAACCCTATGCATTCATATTCACAACCTCGTACCCAGGGTCTTTTGTCTTCACGGGGCGGGAACTACGTAACGAAGAATCCAACCCTATCCACCATCATATTCAATCGTTTATTTATAAGTATTAAAGTAAATGATTTTAAACCTTAGGCGCTTATACGTACGAAATGCGCACAGCATATATATATACATAAATATAGAATTATATCCTTAAAAAGTATTGCTTTCCAAGAAACGTCCAATATATTGTCAGTTTCATCTATAGAAATCTTCCAGGCGTGGACAAATAACAAATAAAAATTGTCTACCGCCTGAAGATTTCTGTGCAGATGAAACGAACTGAGTGGACGGTTAAAATAGCAGTTCTTTTTTTCAAAGTTTAGCAATAATGAAATTCACGTTTTACTTAATTCATATATTTCAACCCAAAACGAAGGTAAAAACAACCAAAATTGTGATGACGAAGAAGACTGTGGTAGTGCAGTTGTGATTTTGTTGAAGATGAAAAACCAGAAGGCCATTTCCTGTAAAAGACAAGTATTTATCAATCGCGCTAGGATTAGCAATAAAACATGCATAGACATAGTACAGTACCTGTCCAGAAATGAGCTAGCTATAACACCGCAGTATAAAAAAATGATTTGAGATTATATTTTTTCTGTAATATTTAATATTTTCGTGCACAGTGTTAGAATTACGCGTCAGTTATAGATCTTGCCAGAAAGAATGTAAGCTCATGGACATGCCTTTCAGCACTTGGGACAAATCCCTACTCTTAAACTTGCAATATTACGCGTCTTTGTATACTTTAATTTCTTAGGATTCAGTCATGGACACGTTTGCAGTTAGAGTCTTGCCGAACTCAGCCAATGCAGATAACCGCGAAACATTGTACGAAATCGTTTCCAAGTCAATGTCGAATGGGCATAAAGTAAGGTCCGCTCTCTCCTTCCCGCTTTTGATTTACTCGCACGCGAAAGCCTAAAACCTTCATAAGTTTTTGTGTAATTAATTTATACAGAGAAAACACACCACAATATCAAAAGAATCCAACCCTATGCATTCATATTCAACCTCGTACCCAGGGTCTTTTGTCTTCACGGGGCGGGGAACTACGTAACGAAGAATCCAACCCTATCCACCATCTATTCAATCGTTTATTTATAAGTATTAAAGTAAATGATTTTAAACCTTAGGCGCCTATACGTACGAAAATGCGCACAGCATATAATATACATAAATATAGAATTTTATCCTTAAAAAGTATTGCTTTCCAAGAAACGTCCACTATACTGTCAGTTTCATCCGTATAGAAATCTTCCAGGCGTGGACAAATAACAAATAAAAATTGTCTACCGCCTGAAGATTTCTGTGCAGATGAAACGAACTGAGTGGACGGTTATAAATAGGCAGTTCTTTTTTTCAAAAGTTTAGCGATAATGAAATTCACGTTTTACTTAATTCATATATTTCAACCCAAAACGAAGGTAAAAACAACCAAAAATTGTGATGACGAAGAAGACTGTGGTAGTGCAGTTGTTGATTTTGTTGAAGATGAAAACACCAGAAGGCCATTTCCTGTAAAAGACAAGGTATATTTATCAATCGCACTAGGATTAGCAATAAAACAACATGCATAGACATAGTACAGTACCTGTCCAGAAATGAGCTAGCTATAACACCGCAGTATAAAAAAATGATTTGAGATTATATTTTTTCTGTAATATTTAATATTTTCGTGCACAGTGTTAGAATTACGTGTCAGTTGTGATCTTGCCAGAAAGAGTGTAAGCTCATGGACACGCCTTTCAGCACTTGGGACAAATCCTTACTCTTAAACTTGCAATATTACGCGTCTTTGTATACTTTAATTTCTTAGGATTCAGTCAAGGACACGTTTGCAGTTAAAGTCTTGCCGAACTCAGCCAATGCAGATAACCGCGAAACATTGTACGAAATCGTTTCCAAGTCAATGTCGAATGGGCATAAAGTAAGGTCCGCTCTCTCCATTCCCGCGTTTTCGATTTTACTCGCACGCGAAAGCCTAAAACCTTCATAAGTTTTTGTGTAATTAATTTATAACAGAGAAAACACACCACAATATCAAAAGAATCCAACCCTATGCATTCATATTCACAACCTCGTACCCAGGGTCTTTTGTCTTCACGGGGCGGGGAACTACGTAACGAAGAATCCAACCCTATCCACCATCTATATTCAATCGTTTATTTATAAGTATTAAAGTAAATTATTTTAAACCTTAGGCGCTTATACGTACGAAAATGCGCACAGCATATATAATATACATAAATATAGAATTTTATCCTTAAAAAGTATTGCTTTCCAAGAAACGTCCACTATATTGTCAGTTTCATCGTATAGAAATCTTCCAGGCGTGGACAAATAACAAATAAAAATTGTCTACCGCCTGAAGATTTCTGTGCAGATGAAACGAACTGAGTGGACGGTTATAAATAAGCAGTTCTTTTTTTCAAACGTTTAGCAATAATGAAATTCACGTTTTACTTAATTCATATATTTCAACCCAAAACGAAGGTAAAAACAACCAAAAATTGTGATGACGAAGAAGACTGTGGTAGTGCAGTTGTTGATTTTGTTGAAGATGAAAACACCAGAAGGCCATTTCCTGTAAAAGACAAGGTATAATTATCAATCGTGCTAGGATTAGCAATAAAACAAGATGCATAGACATAGTACAGTACCTGTCCAGAAATGAGCTAGCTATAACACCGCAGTATAAAAAATATATTTGAGATAATATTTTTTCTGTAATATTTAATATTTTCGCGCATAGTGTTAGAATTACGCGTCAGTTATAGATCTTGCCAGAAAGAATGTAAGCTCATGGAGACGCCTTTCGGCACTTGGGACAAATCCCTCCTCTTAAACTTGCAACATTACGCGTCTTTGTTTACTTTAATTTCTTAGGATTCAGTCAAGGACACGTTTGCAGTTAGAGTCTTGCCGAACTCAGCCAATGCAGATAACCGCGAAACATTGTACGAAATCGTTTCCAAGTCAATGTCGAATGGGCGTAAAGTAAGGTCCGCTCTCCCATTTTCGCGTTTTTGGTTTACTCGCACACAAAAACCTAAAACCTTCATAAGTTTTTGTGTAATTAATTTATAACAGAGAAAACACACCACAATATCAAAAGAATCCAACCCTATGCATTCATATTCACAACGTCGTACCCAGGGTCTTTTGTCTTCACGGGGCGGGGAACTACGTAACGAAGAATCCAACCCTATCCACCATCTATATTCAATCGTTTATTTATAAGTATTAAAGTAAATTATTTTAAACCTTAGGCGCTTATACGTACGAAAATGCGCACAGCATATATATATACATAAATAGAATTTCCTTAAAAAGTATTGCTTTCCAAGAAACGTCCACTATACTGTCAGTTTCATCCGTATAGAAATCTTCCAGGCGTGGACAAATAACAAATAAAAATTGTCTACCGCCTGAAGATTTCTGTGCAGATGAAACGAACTGAGTGGACGGTTAGGCAGTTCTTTTTTTCAAAAGTTTAGCGATAATGAAATTCACGTTTTACTTAATTCATATATTTCAACCCAAAACGAAGGTAAAAACAACCAAAAATTGTGATGACGAAGAAGACTGTGGTAGTGCAGTTGTTGATTTTGTTGAAGATGAAAACACCAGAAGGCCATTTCCTGTAAAAGACAAGGTATATTTATCAATCGCGCTAGGATTAGCAATAAAACAATATGCATGCAAAGACATAGTACAGTACCTGTCCAGAAATGAGCTAGCATAACACCGCAGTATAAAAAAAATAGATTTGAGATTATATTTTTTCTGTAATATTTAATATTTTTCGAGCACAGTGTTTAGAATTACGCGTCAGTTATAGATCTTGCGAGAAAGAATGTAAGCTCATGGAGACGCCTTTCGGCACTTGGGACAAATCCCTCCTCTTAAACTTGCAATATTACGCGTCTTTGTATACTTTAATTTCTTAGGATTCAGTCAAGGACACGTTTGCAGTTAGAGTCTTGCCGAACTCAGCCAATGCAGATAACCGCGAAACATTGTACGAAATCGTTTCCAAGTCAATGTCGAATGGGCATAAAGTAAGGTCCGCTCTCTCCATTTTCGCGTTTTTGTTTTACTCGCACACAAAAACCTAAAACCTTCATAAGTTTTTGTGTAATTAATTTATAACAGAGAAAACACACCACACAATAAACAGAAAGAATCACAACCCTATGCATTCATATTCACACACGTACCCAGGGTCTTTTGTCTTCACGGGGCGGGGAACTACGTAACGAAGAATCCAACCCTATCCACCATCTATATTCAATCGTTTATTTATAAGTATTAAAGTAAATTATTTAAACCTTAGGCGCTTATACGTACGAAAATGCGCACAGCATATATAATATACATAAATATAGAATATATATCCTTAAAAAGTATTGCTTTCCAAGAAACGTCCAATATATGTCAGTTTCATCTGTATAGAAATCTTCCAGGCGTGGACAAATAACAAATAAAAATTGTCTACCGCCTGAACATTTCTGTGCAGATGAAACGAACTGAGTGGACGGTTATAATAAGCAGTTCTTTTTTCAAAAGTTTAGCATAATGAAATTCACGTTTTACTTAATTCATATATTTCAACCCAAAACGAAGGTAAAAACAACCAAAAATTGTGATGACGAAGAAGACTGTGGTAGTGCAGTTATTGATTTTGTTGAAGATGAAAACACCAGAAGGCCATTTCCTGTAAAAGACAAGGTATAATTATCAATCGCGCTAGGATTAGCAATAAAACAATATGCATGCAAAGACATAGTACAGTACCTGTCCAGAAATGAGCTAGCATAACACCGCAGTATAAAAAAATAGATTTGAGATTATATTTTTTCTGTAATATTTAATATTTTCGAGCACAGTGTTAGAATTACGCGTCAGTTATAGATCTTGCGAAAAAGAATGTAAGCTCATGGAGACGCCTTTCGGCACTTGGGAAAAATCCCTCCTCTTAAACTTGCAATATTACGCGTCTTTGTATACTTTAATTTCTTAGGATTCAGTCAAGGACACGTTTGCAGTTAGAGTCTTGCCGAACTCAGCCAATGCAGATAACCGCGAATTATTGTACGAAATCGTTTCCAAGTCAATGTCGAATGGGCATAAAGTAAGGTCCGCTCTCTCCATTCGCGTTTTTGGTTTTACTCGCACACAAAACCTAAAACCTTAATAAGTTTTTGTGTAATTAATTTATAACAGAGAAAACACACCACAATATCAAAAGAATCCAACCCTATGCATTCATATTCACAACGTCGTACCCAGGGTCTTTTGTCTTCACGGGGCGGGGAACTACGTAACGAAGAATCCAACCCTATCCACCATCTATATTCAATCGTTTATTTATAAGTATTAAAGTAAATGATTTTAAACCTTAGGCGCTTATACGTACGAAAATGCGCACAGCATATATAATATACATAAATAAAATTTATCCTTAAAAAGTATTGCTTTCCAAGAAACGTCCACTATACTGTCAGTTTCATCCGTATAGAAATCTTCCAGGCGTGGACAAATAACAAATAAAAATTGTCTACCGCCTGAAGATTTCTGTGCAGATGAAACGAACTGAATGGACGGTTATAAATAGGCAGTTCTTTTTTTCAAAAGTTTAGCGATAATGAAATTCACGTTTTACTTAATTCATATATTTCAACCCAAAACGAAGGTAAAAACAACCAAAAATTGTGATGACGAAGAAGACTGTGGTAGTGCAGTTGTTGATTTTGTTGAAGATGAAAACACCAGAAGGCCATTTCCTGTAAAAGACAAGGTATATTATCAATCGCGCTAGGATTAGCAATAAAACAATGCATGCAAGACATAGTACAGTACCTGTCCAGAAATGAGCTAGCATAACACCGCAGTATAAAAAAATAGATTTGAGATTATATTTTTTCTGTAATATTTAATATTTTCGTGCACAGTGTTAGAATTACGCGTCAGTTATAGATCTTGCCAGAAAGAATGTAAGCTCATGGACATGCCTTTCAGCACTTGGGACAAATCCCTACTCTTAAACTTGCAATATTACGCGTCTTTGTATACTTTAATTTCTTAGGATTCAGTCAAGGACACGTTTGCAGTTAGAGTCTTGCCGAACTCAGCCAATGCAGATAACCGCGAAACATTGTACGAAATCGTTTCCAAGTCAATGTCGAATGGGCATAAAGTAAGGTCCGCTCTCTCCATTTTCGCGTTTTTGGTTTTACTCGCACACAAAAACCTAAAACCTTAATAAGTTTTTGTGTAATTAATTTATAACAGAGAAAACACACCACAATATCAAAAGAATCCAACCCTATGCATTCATATTCACAACGTCGTACCCAGGGTCTTTTGTCTTCACGGGGCGGGGAACTACGTAACGAAGAATCCAACCCTATCCACCATCTATATTCAATCGTTTATTTATAAGTATTAAAGTAAATTATTTTAAACCTTAGGCGCTTATACGTACGAAAATGCGCACAGCATATATAATATACATAAATATAGAATTTTATCCTTAAAAAGTATTGCTTTCCAAGAAACGTCCACTATACTGTCAGTTTCATCCGTATAGAAATCTTCCAGGCGTGGACAAATAACAAATAAAAATTGTCTACCGCCTGAAGATTTCTGTGCAGATGAAACGAACTGAGTGGACGGTTATAAATAAGAAGTTATTTTTTTCAAAAGTTTAGCAATAATGAAATTCACATTTTACTTAATTCATATATTTAAACCCAAAATGAAGGTAGAAACAACCAAAAATTGTGATGACGAAGAAGGCTGTGGTAGTGCAGTTGTTGATTTTGTTGAAGATGAAAACACCAAAAGACCATTTCCTGTAAAAGACAACGTATAATTATCAATCGCGCTAGGATTAGCAATAAAACAATATGCGTACATAGACATAGACATAGTACAGTACCTGTCCAGAAATGAGTTAGCTATAACACCGCAGTATAAAAAAATATAGATTTGAGATTATATTTTTTCTGTAATATTTAATATTTTCGCGCACAGTGTGAGAATTACGCGTCAGTTATAGATCTTGCCAGAAAGAATGTAAGCTCATGGAGACGCCTTTCGGCACTTGGGACAAATCCCTCCTCTTAAACTTGCAATATTACGCATCTTTGTATACTTTAATTTCTTAGGATTCAGTCAAGGACACGTTTGCAGTTAGAGTCTTGCCGAACTCAGCCAGTGCAGATAAGAGCGAAACATTGTACGAAATCCTTTCCAAGTCAATGTCGAATGGGCATAAAGTAAGGTCCGCTCTCTCCATTTTCGCGTTTTGAATTTACTCGCACGTAAAAGCCTAAAACCTTCATAAGTTTTTGTGTAATTAATTATAGAGAAAACACACCACAATATCAAAAGAATCCAACCCTATGCATTCATATTCAATACCTCGTACCCAGGGTCTTTTGTGTTCACAGGGCGCGGAACTACGCAAAGAAGAATCAAACCCTACCATCTATATTATATTGTTTATTTTATAAGTATTATCGTAAATGATTTTAAACCTTAGGCGCTAATACGTACGAAAATGCGGACAGCATATATAATATACATAAGTATAGAATATACTGTATATCCTTAAAAAGTATTGCTTTCCAAGAAACGTCCACTATACTGTCAGTTTCATCCGTATAGAAATCCTCCAGGCGTCAACAAATAACAAATAAAAATTGTCTACCGCCGGAAGATTTCTGTGCAGATGAAACGAACTGAGTGAACGGTTATAAATAAGCAGTTATTTTTTTCAAAAGTTTAGCGATAATGAAATTCACATTTTATCTAATTCATATATTTCAACCCAAAATGAAGGTAGAAACAACAAAAAATTGTGATGACGAAGAGGACTGTGGTAGTGCAGTTGTTGATTTTGTTGAAGATGAAAACAGCAGAAGGCCATTTCCTGTAAAAGACAAGGTATAATTATCAATCGCGCTAGGATTAGCAATAAAACAATATGCGTACATAGACATAGCAGAGTACCTGTCCAGAAATGAGCTATCTATAACACTGCAGTATAAAAAAATAGATTTGAGATTATATTTTTTCTGTAATATTTAATATTTTCGTGCACAGTGTCAGAATTACGCGTCAGTTATGGATCTTGCCAGAAAGAATGTAAGGTCATGGACACGCCTTTCAGCACTTAGGACAAATCCCTACTCTTAAACTTGCAATATTACGCATCTTTGTATACTTTAATTTCTTAGGATTCAGTCAAGGACACGTTTGCAGTTAGAGTCTTGCCGAACTCAGCCAATGCAGTTAACAGCGAAACATTGTACGAAATCCTTTCCAAGTCAATGTCGAATGGGCATAAAGTAAGGTCCGCTCTCTCCATTGTCGCGTTTTGAATTTACTCGCACGTAAAAGCCTAAAACCTTCATACGTTTTTGTGTAATTTATTTGTATCAGAGAAAACACACCACAATATCAAAAGAATCCAACCCTATGCATTGATATTCACAACCTCGTACCCAGGGTCTTTTGTGTTCACGGGGCGCGAAACTAAGCAACGAAGAATCAAACCCTACCATCTATACTTAATCGTTTATTTTATAAGTATCATAGTAAATGATTTTAAACCTTAGGCGCTTATACGCACGAAAATGCGGACAGCATATATAATATACATAAATATAGAATATATATCCTTAAAGATGATGTAAAGTCCGTTCTGAGCATATATTTTGCGCATAACAATGTTTGTTTACGTTGGTTATATAATCTTTACATGACGTATGCGTCGTTATAGTTTTCTTATTTTATTCTCGCTCGCCCGGCTGTGATCTGTGATGAATATGCTTATTTTATATTATATTTTGAAGAAAACATTATGATATTTTGAAGAAAATATAAAGCGAAGCTTATAAATAAACCGGCTGTTATTTAAAACTTTATATATTTGTAATTATAGGACAAGCGAGAAGGTAGCGTCTGTAGCGACGACAAATAGCCTCGCCATTTCGGGCCTTATTCAACAAAAAAATTCTTGGAGCATTTCTTTCAGCATAATATTGCTTTTTTCTAGCAGCCTTATGATAAGATAAGTTTTCATCGTGACTCGCAATTCGAGCCTCTTCGCATTGCGACGTAAAATAAAATAATTGTGCTCCCGAACTGCCGTTTGTAATACAATGCACTAATATCGCATATCACGTTCCAAAAGTTTTTCCCCCACTGATGGAATGTGTTGCTGCGTGGAATATATGCGCAGAACGGACTTTACCTCATCTTTAAAAAGTATTGCTTTCCAAGAAACGTCCACTATACTGCCAGTTTCATCCGTATAGAAATCCTCCAGGCGTGGACAAATAACAAATAAAAATTGTCTACCGCCTGAAGATTCCTATGCAGATGAAACGGACTGAGTGGACGGTTATAAATAAGCAGTTCTTTTTTTCAAAAGTTTAGCGATAATAAAATTCACGTTTTATTTAATTCATATATTTCAACCCAAAATGAAGGTAGAAACAACCAAACATTGTGATGACGAAGAAGACTGTGGTAGTGCAGTTGTTGATTTTGTTGAAGATGAAAACACCAGAAGAATTGTATAAATATCTTTAAGCATGCAGTTTAGTTTAACATAATGTCTCTAAATACAGTTTATTGACTTGACGTCTCGACTGGACACTTGGTCTTGTTTTCCTGTCTTGTTGGTCACCCTTGTTCTTGCTTGTTATAGTGTATATAGTGCCTGCTCAACAGACTCAGGCTAAACTGTTGCAATAACATCATCGCCTTAATTCATAATCTTCGTATAATCAATAAAGGTAACCTGAAAATATAAATTAAATGCATAAGAGGATCTGGCATTTACAATTTTCCAATTTAAGATGCAGTGCGCAAGCATCGTTAATAGACCATGGTAAATGATAACCAATTTATGAATTAAGATTTATTTTGTAACAGAATTAGGATGTATGCCAGTATACACAGGTATAATTAAAGAATATAATTATCTTGAAATTGAAAAATTGGGTCTGGGTACATCTCATATAGTGTCTTTAAAATGGAAAAATTTATTTAATTATGTAGCTAGTAGTCAAGTCAATTAAAAGGGTAAGCTAGTTCTCAACTCTATTAAAAAGTAAAACTACTCTGGAACATTCAGTCAAATCAACTATCCAATGTGTACAGCATTTAGAAAGCAAATACAGTAGAGTGAGGACAAAAATTGGTCCTTTGGAATGTTACTGACCCCCAAAAGGAATACAAAATATTAAACATATTCATCAAGATTATACCTAGCAAATTATATGCTTTCTTTATGCGAAGCATAAACAATAGCATAAACAGCCTTATGCATTTATCGATATACTTATAAATTTGCTTTTCAAAAGCACCTAGAACAATTAAATTTTGAAAGATAAAACGTATGACTCACCAAGTCTCTCTTGTGATGTCGAAACTGTTCGCGTCGCCATGCGCTTCGGTAGTCTCGGAATTAGAATGAAGCAGACTTTTCACTCTCAACCTACTAGGGACCTTCGAAGAGCAGTCATGAATTTCTTTGCATCGTTTGTAAAGGAACCAAAAATTTATTCTTTACAAACAGATAGAGACAAATGTTTGACACAAATGATTCGAAAAGCACTGCAATACAAGACGCGTGGGTTTCACACCTTGCGACATTCTTATTGTCAAGGTGTGGAGTTTGGGTTTTGGTCGAGGGTCGAGGGTAGAAAGTCGAGGGTCGAGAGTGAGGTCGAGGGTAAAGTCGAGGGTAAAGTCGAGGGTAAAGTCGAGGGTCGAATTTTATTGCATTTTACAACCGGCAATGTCGAGGGTGAAGTCGAGGGTAATATATTTTCCGCCTTATTGTCCGAAACTATTATAAGTGTTGCATGTGAATAACGCAGGCAGCTCACCGGTTCTGCAAACAGTTGCATGTTACAATGTTGTTTTGAATTCACTGGAAAGAGTAAAATAGCCATAGAAAGAATGTGGTATATTTGTTATTTTCGCATTGCTATTTACGCGTTACGACTAATTATTAAGTTTAACCCGTTTTGGAAGTCTGACTTGTAAAATATAATGCCCAAAGATTCATAAATTGCAACTGCAATCTGTATGTATACTTGTAACATGTAATTTGTATAGATTACGCTGTATCGCATATTGCATAGAAGAAAATATTAACAATAATAATATTAATAATTAATAATTAATATTATTAACAATATAATATTAGTATAGGCAAATTGTGAATTTCTACAATTGACCCTCGACTTCACCCTCGACATTGCCGATTGTAAAATGCGATAAAAATCGACCCTCGACTTTACCCTCGACTTCACCCTCGACCTCACTCTCGACCCTCGACTTACTACCCTCGACTCTCGACCCTCGACCAAAACCCAAACTCCAAGGTGTGCTGTCAAACACACCAAGGTGTGTTTACACACATTAATGAACAAAAGGAAAGGTGTGCAAAAGAGGTGTTTTCGCTAACACACAAAGGTGTTTTCCCTACACACCAAAGTGTGTTTTCTTAAAGAGCGTAGAAAGGTGTGCCAAATTACACAGATGGTTGTCCAATACTGTTGCAAGCATACGGGTCGTTCGTTTCGTAAATTTTTTTATACGGATGGTAAAGTGCTTTAGGCATTTCTATTCGTTAGATCGAAGTAAGCAACCATTCGCACCATTGGTATTGAATAGATTCTTAGTTTACGATCCGTAAATAGACTATGTCGATTCGTAAACGCATTTTGTCGACTAGAACATGAGGCATGGAAACTAGCGTGTGTCTAAGGCGTAAACAGCTGTAAGTAGTATACAGAATAGGGGTTCTGGAGCGGGTGGTGCGGGTGGTGCACTTAGCACCACACATGAAGTCATCGATTCCTAAATGTTTTAATTTATTCCGGCATTTTAATATATTCGAGCTTTGCCGTTTATTGCTATAGCAATTTTTCAGGGTATTTTACTACCATTTCTTTATTTACATGACTACATCGTTTAGTAATGTCTGGTTACTTAGTTATATTAAACGGTAGGCGATTTCCCGCCGTATGTTGTTCTTATCGTCGTTCGTATGCCTGTAGTGATTTAGCGGTCGTTTGATTACATACGACTGCGTTTTATTTCTAACTGCTCCTCTACCGCTTATACCGTCTGCTTATCTGCAATCGATGTTTTATAGATTTATATTTGCTTATGTTCTGTTTAGAGATCTTTAGAGGCTTTAGAGATCTCATGCAGTTACATAATTAATCATAATTTAACGCTCTGCCTGTTTTTACACAATGATTGTGCAATAATTTATTATTCATATATATATATATAAGTACGCGAGGAATGGGGTAAACAATGAAGCGTAAATACGCACAATAGCGTAAATACGCAGGATATGTTTGTTTGACAGCAATTTACTTAAATTACACAAATGCCGGTTTACTTCACACAGTAAGAATTTGCGAAGAGTATATTTTATTTTACTAGGATTACACATTTGTATGTCAATATTTAGTACCATTAGACAAATGTTCATTTTAAAAGATTCGTTTTCTATGTATGCTTTGTGATACAGTTCAGCTCATAGGTTAACCCTGATTTAATTGTCCTCATATATCATAATGTCAATATGCCGTTGACACACGATCATTTCCATACATCAATTTTCGTGTTATCGAGTTACTCAAAGTTTACTTGCATGGAATATGAGGTGGAATATCGGTTACAAATTTTGTGCGATGAGCAGATGAGTACCTACCTGCTCGTAACTGCTCGTCTGCTCAATGAGATATTTCATACCCACTTGAAATTTTTGTTGATAAAAATGAAATGTACAAAATGTATAGCGGCCGGAAAGAAAATTTCAGACATGGATTAAATTTAAAGTCTAATTATCATCATCGTCATAATCTTCACTGTCTTTATTTTGCTCGTCATCTTCCGTGAATCTCGTGGTCGCTTAAAAGCCTTTTAATAAGAAACTTTCTCTTATCAACTGCAGCTTCTATTGCTTCTTCTGGGTCAAAATCATCATTTTGAATAAACGATTCTTTTGTGTGCATTATTTTCCTATGTACTGAATCTTTCTTTAGTTGTCTTATCCACAAAAAGCGCTCTAAATAGATATTTTCTAATTCTTTCTGTAGTAAGTAAGCTTTCTCTTTAGCAGATTGCTCGTCGAAACCTCTGTCGTTTATGAGGCGTTCTTTCATTTCCTCGAAAGCTGTGTTACTTCTTTGTTTTGCTTCTTCTATTAGTGGTATCCAGGGATTCATTTCTTCTCCAGATTCTAAGTCAGTCGTCGTCGAACTTCCTGACTGCTGAGTAGAAGTTGTTGAGACATCGTCACGGAAATCTCTTTCTTGACTGTCCGAGTCTGTGGCAGCAGTGTCTTGTTTCATCAAAAACCAAAAAACCTGATTGTTGGGCTACCTATGCAAGAATAGACAAAAGAGTGAACACGTTTAATGAGTATCTGTCTCAAAGGATAGTGCGCATGCGTATTACGTGTTTTTCTATGTCCCACAATCAAACGGTAAAAGTTTCGTATTTATATTTCGTCGTTCGTGCAGAAACTGATCAACTGATAACTTAAATTTTCATCCGCTGCGAAACGAAATCGGCTGTGTCATATCAGTTCTGTAAGGAATTGGTATATTATCGACGGTTAACTGAAGAGGCTTAGGTAAGACGTCAATTAAATTTATTACTTCCAAATTCCAAGTAGTTGCTGTGCCCTTGTTGGCTGCACCAATGAAGAAAGAATCTGAGGTGCCCCTTGGGAAATGTCTAGCAACGAACGGGTTCAATTGTTAATTAATGTGCGAAGACTTCTTAGTAGTTGCTGTGCCCTTGTTGGCTGCACCGATGAAGAAAGAATCTGAGGTGCCCCCTGGGAAATGTCTAGCAACGAAAGGTTCATTTTAGTTGTGAAGTTTATTTAAGGCTGTTTGGTCAGAAAAACTAACAGACTTATCTGTTTTAGAATGGATAACACTTGCAGGACTTGTTTAAAACAGTTCACAGAGCTGCGAAGTTTGCGTCGTCATGAACGGTCTATTCATGGTGAAAGAAGGTTTTGTTGTGATCATTGTGGCGAGTCTTTCAGACGAAAAGATGCTTTGAGGCGGCATCAGAAGCGTCATCAAAAAATGATTACACACACGTGCAACAACTGCATGAAAGATTTCCACCGTCGAGATAAATTAGTAGAACATCAAGTTCATTGTCAAAGGAATCCACTGAAGAGAAAGCGTAATGAAGGCGATAATAGTCCGGCCCAAAGAAAATGCGAGTTCAAATTGGAGAAGGTGAACCCGATAATCAAGTCGAAGAAGATAACCCTTGCAGTTCTACTTCGGCGTTTGAAGATTCTTTGAAGAAGATTGAGTTGAAACCGCGGAAAGATCAGAAACAGGACGTGTCCCACTTCTTACGCGGCAAGACAAAATCCATTTTGAGTCACCTTTCCAACGAATTAGCAGAGAAAAGAGGCATCAAATGGTTCATCAGTGTTAAAGTACGATTCGTCAAACCTAAACCCAATGGCGAGAGTCTGACTACCGAATCCCACTTCCGCAGTCTCTGCATGAAAACAGTAGACCAGCACGAACTGCATAATCAACTAGAGGAGGCCAAGCAAAAAACCCAGTCACTAGTTTTATTTCAAAAAGAAGGAAGTGGTTGGGTATTAGACGAAATCCTTCATCTTGACCTGAGTATAGCTCAGTATACTCCAGTAAAAGGATCCAGCTACGTCCCTCTCCCTAGCAAGATAAACGCCAAGAAAGCAGTAATCAACATCAAGAATTCTGATAACAAATGCTTCATGTGGTCTGTCCTCGCCGCTCTTCATCCAGTGAAACAGAGTGCAG